GGGGCCAGGGCGGGGGGGGGGGGAGGTGGCACAGCTGGCAGCGGCACGGGGACGGCGACACGGGGCGGGGACACCGAGCGGCGACACGGGGGTGGCACAGCGGCTGGAGACACCGCCTGACCCCCGTGGGGACGGGTGTGACACCGTGACCGGCCGGGGGTGGTGGCACCGTGTGCGCGTGTGGCACGGGGGGGTGGGGACATGTGGTGGGGACAGTCCCAGGTGTTGGGGACACACAGATGGCACACGGGGACTCGGAGGTGGTGGGGACATGGTGGGGATGTGCTCATGTTGGGGACAGGCGGTGACACGCATGGCACTTGTCATGGGGACACTCAAGTGGTGGGAACTTGTTCAGGTGTTGGGGACACACATGTGACACACTGTGGGGACACGCTCAGGACTTGGGGACAGTCACGTGTGGTGAGGACACACACAGGTGTTGGGGACACACACAAGTGTTGGGGACATGCAGGTGACACATGCCATGGGGACACTCCTAGATGTTGGGGACAGTCACAGGTGGAGACATGCAGGTGTCACGTGCCATGGGGACACTGCCAGATGTTGGGGACAGTCACAGGTGGCACATGCCATGGGGACACTGCCAGGTGTTGGGGAAACGCAGGTGGCACACAGTTACCATGTGTTGGGGACACGCTCAGGTGCTGGGGACACGCATGTGGCACGTGCCATGGAGACAGTCCCAGGTGTTGGGGACAGTCCCAGGTGGCATGTGCCATGGGGACACTCCCAGGTGTTGGGGACACTCCCAGATGTTGGGGACAGTCACAGGTGGAGAAACACAGGTGGCACGTGCCGTGGGGACACTGCCAGGTGTTGGGGACACACGTGTGGCCCAGGTGTTGGGGACATCTCAGGGGACCGGCCTTGGGGACACTTGTGCTGGGGACACTCACAGGGCTTGTGGACACGCAGCTGGCACTGGGACTGGGGACACTCGCAGGGTTTGGGGACACACACTGGGATTGGGGACATGAACTGGGATTGGGGACATGCAACTGGCACCGGGACTGGGGACACGCAGCTGGCACCGGGACTGGGGACATGCACAGGGGTTGGGGACACACACTGGGACTGGGGACATGCACAGGGGTTGGGGACCCACAGCTGGCACTGGGATTGGGGACAGGCAACTGGCACCGGGACTGGGGACAGGCACAGGGGTTGGGGACCCACAGCTGGCACTGGGATTGGGGACAGGCAACTGGCACCGGGACTGGGGACAGGCACAGGGGTTGGGGACCCACAGCTGGCACTGGGATTGGGGACAGGCAACTGGCACCGGGACTGGGGACAGGCACAGGGGTTGGGGACCCACAGCTGGCACTGGGATTGGGGACAGGCAACTGGCACCGGGACTGGGGACAGGCACAGGGGTTGGGGACCCACAGCTGGCACTGGGATTGGGGACAGGCAACTGGCACCGGGACTGGGGACAGGCACAGGGGTTGGGGACCCACAGCTGGCACTGGGATTGGGGACAGGCAACTGGCACCGGGACTGGGGACACACACCTAGCACCGGGACTGGGGACGTGCTCCGCTGGCCCTTCCCATTCCCATGGGAGCCCTCGACTTTGACCTCTCCCAAATCCCAAATTTCCCCCAAATCCGCCAGGTCCTGGGTTTGGGGTTGTGGCCCATCCTGGGATTTGGGGCCGGGGAAAATGGGAAGGGATAAACCCAGAGAAGGAAAAATGGGAATGGGATAAATCCAAGGAGGGAAAACGGGAATGGGGTTGGATAAACCCAAAGAAGGAAGAACGGGAATGGGATAAAACCAAGGAGGAAAAAGCAGGAATGGGGTAGGATAAACCCTAGGAGGGGAAATGGGAATGGGATAAACCCAAAGAAGGAAAACAGGAATGGGGTTAGATAAACCCCAAGAGGGAAAAGCGGGAATGAGGGGATGGGATCAGGGGGAAATCAGGGAAAAGGGGGATCCGGATCCCATCCCAATTTGGGGCGGGATCTCCCGCAGCCGCTGGGCTGGAAAGAATTCCCAAAAATAGCCGGGGGTGGGGCCATTCCCAGCTGTTCCCACCGGGAATGCGAATCCCATAAAGGGGGGTGGGGACCCCGAAATCCCCCATGGGACACAAAAAGGGGCCTGGGAACCCCAAATTCCCATCCCAGGGAAAACTGAGGGAATGGGGATCCCAAAATTTCCTCCCTAGGGACAACCGGGGCTGTAGGGACCCCAAAATAACTCCGATGTCCCCAAAGGGGGATGGGGACCCCGAAATTCCCCTTTTGGGAATAATGGGGTGAGTTGGGAACCCCAAAATCCCTCTCGATATCCCCAAAGAGGGGTGTGAAGATCCCAAAATTCCCACTTTGGGGACAAT